AGCAGGTTATAAAGATTAGTCCACTTTAGTTAATAATCCATCAAGGACACACGGAGCTGAAAGCCAAATTTCTATAATTATAAAAGGTGATGATCCTGAGCTGTGTCTGAGGTTGTGTTGGTCTAATACAAGTAATACAAGCAAGGTGTCCTCGTTCCTTATGAAATCAAGTAATCAAGTGACACACTGACATCTCCAGGAGGGATCTTTATACAGCTCTAGGTTACTCAGTAGTTACTGTTTAGGTTAGGAATTTCAGGAGGGCTAAAAGGTTAAGCTTTCCGGGGTGGGACTCTACTCCTGCTGTCTCATCATTTTTTTATGTTACACAGTCACATGTGATCAACATTGCTTTACTTGGCACATCTACTGCACACAATCGATTGTCATGTTGGTGATGCATGGAGAAGCATGTCGGTTCAAACTCAAGAAGGGAAATTGTGACAACTACAGTGAAAAATATTTAGGATCTGAAGAAAAAGTAGGTTTAATGCTGCTGCCACAGACCTTTATGTCAGCAATCGGATATAAAGTGTGAGTACTTGTAATATTAGTAATCTAATGGACAGAGATTTTATGGTTCACTTCATGTCACTACTGATCAGAGTAGTAACACAGTGAATTCTTAGAAAGTTAATGTAAAATTGCACATGCTGTTAATGAATGAGCAGCTAAGATGGACACTGAACTGAATTGTTTCTCTTGTCACATTATATAAGCTACTGTTTTGAACATTAGTCCTCCTCACTGATACACTTCAGAATGACAACACACGTCAGCTAGCTATGTGCAGTACTTTTATTAGATTAGGAAAGTAGTGTCTTCCCAGTGTATTTGCTAAATAACTCAGTTTATGACACAGCACACACAGTATGTTTTTCCTCATGAACATCAATACAAGTTGGATAATGCTTCACATGCTTTACTGTTATGGCTTAATGTGTGTGAGAGGCTTTTACTGTTCTTGATAATCGTTAAATAATATGTAGATAAGGAAATTCATGTGTTCTGTAAGTGTTGGTAGGAAAATTGCACCAGTGTGTTGTCACTTTTTCATTGTTTGTATCTGAAAAATGTGGTGTTTTGACATGAATACTATGGTAGGCTTTATTTTACTTATGAAGACTGCAGGTTAGTGTTTTCTACCCATGTTTATCACCGCTTTGAATTGTGAGAGTTTATGGGCCTTTTCATAAAATGTGATTTAATTAAATTTTTTAAACCTTAATGCATGAAGCATCATTTGTACATGCACATTCAGAACTGCACAAATACATTTTACATTAAGTTTCGGTAAGTTTTCATGGAATGCTCATCTTGTTTGGAGCAGTGTGTAGGAATTCAAGGAACTGTTCTTAACTGGTTCAGATCTTATCTCACCAGTAGAAGTTTTACTGTTATTATTGGTTCCTGTTCATCCTCTTCAACAATCCTTTCCTGTGGTGTCTCCCAAGGATCTGTGCTTGGTCCCATTTTGTTCTCACTGTACATGCCTTCATTGGGATCTGTCTTAAGTAAATATGGCCTTTTGTTTTCACTGTTATACAGACGACATTCAGATTTACTTACTGTTAAAGGCAACAAGAGGGATGTCATTACAGCCATTGTTTGACTGTCTGACAGACTTGAAAGCATGGTTGGCACTTAACTTTTTAAATCTTAACAAAAATAAGACTGAGTGTGTGTTATTTGGTGATCTGGCAAACTTAACTGCTTCAGGGCCTGGGCCTCCTAGTTCGACATCTGAAGTCAACCTTAAAAAACCTAGGGGTGATGTTTGATGGCGACTTGCGGTTTGACAAGCAGATCAACTCAGTTGTGAAATCTAGTTTCTTCCACCTGAGGCTGTTAAGCAAGGTCAAGTCATTCCTTTCTTTTAATGATTTTGAGGTTGCAATCCATGATTTTATCACTTCTAGACTTGATTATTGCAATGCTCTATACCTGTTAACCAGTCCTCCCTCACTCGTCTCCAAATGGTGCAAAACGCTGCTGCTCATCTTTTGACAAGTACAAGAAAATTTGAGCATATAACCTCGGTACTGGCTTCTCTCCACTGGCTTCCAGTCTGTTTTAGAAATGATTTTAAGTTATTGATTTTTGTTTTTAAGGCTCTTAATGGTTTGGCTCCATCTTACCTCACTGAATTAGTGCATTGACACAAACCTACAAGGTCCCTCAGATCTTCAAGCCAGTTTCTTTTAGAGGTTCCTAGGGCCAGATGTAAACGCTGGTGACCGTGCTTTTACTGTTGCAGCCCCTAAATTGTGGAATAATCTACTTTTTAATGTTAGGTCAGCTACTGACCTGACTACTTTTAAATCATTGTTTAAAACATATTTATTTGCCTTGGCTTTTAATACACAGTAGGGCCTGATGCATTCTTTTTAATTTTAATTTATTGAATGTATGTCATCTGTGTATCTTATTTATTCTATTTTAGTTATTTATTGTGATTTTATTCTGCCATGTAAAGTATTTTGGTCAACTGGATGTTTTTAAAGTGCTATATAAATAAATTTGATTTGATTAACTGTTTATTCAAATTAGAGTGTTTTTGATAAAGGAAGTAAAGCACTATTTTAAAATGTAAGTGATGCCTTATAAATATGGATTCTTTCAAGCAGGTTATCCATCTGTCTGTCTGTGATGGTTTTGACAACTAGAGGACAAGAGTTTCCACTGGTAATGAATCCATTGCAGCAGTTTCCTTGGTTACTGTATGAACTTTGAAGGAAATCATTAATTCATGTAATTCACATAATGGCCAGATTTTTTTCTTTTTTGTCACAGATAGAAGATAATGGCTAGCTTGGATAAAGGTGGAGTGTATAATGCTTGCATAAATACTGCTGGGATGTCCAGACACACCACATCATCAGGCCTGCAGCTACCCACATCTCTTAAGCAGGTGACTTTCATTTGTAGCAGGGAACAAAGAGCACCATTTAGGACACCAAACATTTGATCTTCTTTGTTATGTGTTAACCAGTTTGTCTCCATAACTTTCCTTTTCATGCAGGTTCCAAATGACTTTGCATAACATGGAGACTTCAGTGTTCACCTGCTGGCTCCTTTTTTTGCTGTTCAGCCCAGCTGTTCCCACGTGTTTACCCACTGACTTCACCCTGTATGTGGAGAAGCCAGAGTGTGACTTCTGTGTGGCGATCAACACCACCATCTGCATGGGATTTTGCTACTCAAGGGTATGTATTGAAAGTCTATAGAGAAACTGTCACAGAGAAAAAAAGTTATAAAGGTTTATACCATGGACGATGAAAATTCTTGAGTCTAAGTGACGTGGATCAGCTTTTACCTTTATTCAAAAACTATATCAGTTTATAAAAAATCCATGTTTATTATAACAAACTATGTAAGTGTGTTGTCAGGTGGCAAATGGAGTAAAAGGAGGATCCAATTCAATTGTCTGAACAAAAATATAAAACTGAAATAATGAGGTAAATGTATAACATATAACATGTTTTTTTTTAACTGAACAGATCAAAAATGTAGGACTGTACAGGAAAAAGGTAAAACAAGATAATCTAGAAAAATGAATTGTGAGTGAAAGAGTTTAAAACAGTTATAATGGCAACTGACCAAACTTATGCACTAAAGATCCAGTTGCAAAGGAAATGGGTGGCTATTTGAGCCTCAGAAAACATAACGTAAAACATAAATGTAACATGAAGCACATTTATGTCAAAAGCTCACTGTTAATAATTATGGGAAATTTTTTCCCAACTTCATGTAAAGCATGCTAAATAAAGAGCTCCAGAAGGTCACTGTGGTGGAAAATTATTTAAAACTCATTTAAAACACATGTATCCTTCATATTATTTCACAATATCATAATGACATATGCATCTTTATATTTTTCACGAAGACATTATGATTAAGGAGCATTCTTCAGTGGGAATTGTATCTGTATGACGGTTAATTCCTGAGTTGGGGATTGTGTGTCTTTAAAAAGCAGGTGGTTCAAGCTAGTACCAGACAGAGACAGATATTGTAGGTCACTAAGACTTTTGGGGGAGTTTCCTGTTTAGACTCCAAGAACATCTAGTTACAAAAACATGGTTGAGTAGAAGGTTGAGACACACATCTCTGATATTACATGCTCCTTTACACCACACACATACATTACAGTTGGGTAAAAATGAACACAAACCAGGCACACACAACACATACATGAGTGAAAAAAGTGGATATGGTTGGTAGCAGAATCATACAGACAGAAACAGGTATGCTACTAAGCAGACAATCGATGATGACGGGGTGTGGACATTAATGGTATAAAAGAATTGTTACTACACATTTTTCTTCAGTTGTGTTGATGAACCAACTCTGAATCTTTTTGCATAGAATAAAAGGGTCTGAAATATAAAACCCGTCTCTGAGCAAAGTTTTTTCCATGACACCATTCTACTACTGTGTTTGTGTCTGCTGATCAGGACAGCAACATGAGGGATATTCTTGGCCCACGCTTCCTGATCCAGAGGGGCTGTACCTACAACAAGGTGGAATACCGTTCAGCTGTACTGCCCGGCTGTCCCATCGACTCCAACCCCGTTTTCACTTACCCCGTGGCTCTCAGCTGCCACTGTGGTGCCTGCAGGACTGACAGCGATGAATGTGCACACAGAGCCAGTGTGGACAGAGCTAAGTGTACCAAACCAGTCAGCCGTATCTACCCATACCCTGGCCAGAGCAGCTACATGATCCCTTTCTAACAGTTTTATTGTTCTCAGCTAAACTGCTTGAGCAAAGACAAATATCATCCTCTAGTTTGTGATGGATACAGTGATAGTTGAACTGCCTTTACTGTCTGTTGTACCAGCTTGTTTTAATCATGCCTTGGTTGCTAAATGTGTCTGCTCTGCTCCTCAGCTCACAGTCAGGGGAAGCTAATCCTGGTGTATATTTCTGTTTGGGTCATCATTTATCCAAATACTTATGTGTATGTGGCTCCCAGATTTATTAAGTTTACTCTGAATGCAACTCAATAAAGCTGAAGTCTATATAGCTCTCTGACTAAGCTGTGCTTGACTTACAGAAATCACATGTTGTATCATACCAAAGATTTCTGTTGAGTACATAACAAACATGAGGCATGAATAGTGTCACCTACTGTCTTCGCCTTGACAGTTGTTTTGGAAGGGACATGATTATTGACACACCTCTTATTATGTAACAGATTGTCAAGTGACCATGTCAAACCACAAAGGTTTGGCACAGTGCATGAGTCACCTTAAACTAAAAATATAGTGTGAATCTGTTATTTGTTTAGTAATTTTGTCTCATCTGAAGTAGAATGTGTGTGTAATGTTCCACTCACAAAGACAATCTGGGGGAGACAGCTGGAGCTTATTAATAGCTCAGGAGGTCAGAGTGAGAGAATCTGTGACACAGCTCATTCATCACTTTATTATATTCTGTTACCTCTGTATATTATAGTTTTCTGTTAGTGACTGTTTTTATATCAAAGTGTCTGTTGACAGACAGCTTATTGTATATTACTGATTATTGGTTCTGCAGCTGTGACAGCTTCTCACATCAGCATGACATCAGGTTTAAAAGGACAACATTATGGCCAAGGAGAATTGTCCTCTTACAGAAACAACAATTGTCAGCAAGACACATAACTGTCTGTTTTACCCCCCTTTTGCGTTATGCAATCGTGCCACCGGTGGCCTACAGGATTTGTGAAATTACAAACCTTGAAGTAATTTCATCCATCCATTATCTATACCTCTTATTCCGGAACAGGGTCGCAGGGGGACTGAAGCCAATCCCAGCTGACATTGGGCAAGAGGTGGGG